ATGCATACATACATAAATGCATCCATGCATGCATGCATACACACATAATACATAAACATATATATATATATAGTCATATTTTTATATATATATATACAGACACATATACACATGTAGATAGAGAGGAAGAGTGCGAGAGCGAGACGGAGATAGATTGACAAGTTGGTAGGCAGTCGAGGTATGGACACCAAAGCTACCCTGTACCCCAGGCTCTGGGCCTCAGTACCCTGAACCCTGAAACCCTAGACCCTAAACCCCAGACCCTAAACCCCTAGACCCTAAGCCTCAAAACCCTAAACCCTGAACACTGAACCCTTTTAGATCCCTAGGACACCCGAGGCCCCAAAAGTCGCCCCCGATCCTCCAAGGCGTGCCGGCCGCCAGTGGCGAAGCCGCCGCCGGCATGGTAGGCCGAAGCCGCATTCACCTCGGTGCTTCTCGTTCAGACAGAACATATGTGTACTAGTATGCATGTTTGTTCCTTAGATTCAGAGCGAGCTTTTTTCTTGTTGATTGCTTCAGGGGGGCAGGTTCAGGTAGGCAAGTCGAATTTCGCTGTAGGGCCTTGCCTTGATCGGCACTGAGCCTCAGATTTGAGATCAGTAATGAGGGCTCGCCTGTAAGTCCCTGAAACATTCATGGGGTTAGGGTTTCTGTCTCAAGTCTCGATTTAATGCGTAGACCGCTGGTTGATCATCACAGCTCCCTCAACAAGCACTCCAAGACAGATCCGGGCATCCGCGCCCTAAAAAAATGCATATTACATCTCTTCGGCTTCACATGCCATATTTTTCAGAGACAAGATCTTGAATGACCCCATGAAGGGGTTTTAAATACTACCGACTTAGAATGATGCCTAAGGAACCTCCACTTCAAGGTTTAGGGCCCTAAGCCCTTAACCCTAAACCCTAAGCCAGACTGATGCCTAAGGAACCTCCGGTTGAAGGTTTAGGAGCTAAGCTTCCGAGCGGAAGGCTCCTTGCCTGGCTTGCGAGGGGGTTTTGGGTTTAGGGGTTTAGGAGTTTTGGCTTTAGGTGTTTAGGAGTTTAGGGTTTAGGGGTTTAGGGGTTTCGGGGTTTAGGGGTTTAGGAGTTTAGGAGTTTAGGAGTTTAGGGGTTTAGGGGTTTAGGGTGGTTTAGAGGTTTAGGTGTTTAGGGTTTATGGCATAATGCTTTCGGGTCAAGAGTGCTCGTGCAGATCAGTGCTTTTTGCTGAATGTCTAAGTTACTGCCTCCTTGTAACCTACTTGATGGTACACCTGGGTACCTATATCGTATAGCTTCAACTGCTAAACCCTAAACCCTAAACCCTAAACCCTAAACCCTAAACTATCAAACCCTAAGTTTTAAACCCTAAACTCCTAAACCCTAAACCGTACCTTTCCCCAACCCCTGAACCCTAGCCCTTCCTTCCTTGCAGCCTAGGGTCTGCTGCCACGCGGAAGCCTCTCTTGCAGTACTCCTTGGAAAAGTAAGTGTCTGTGGAGGCATACGGCTTTGAAAGCGGTTTCATAAGGCGTTTAGGGCTTACAGGTTAAAGGGCTCAGGATGTTTAGGGTGGAGCATGGAGCCACATAGACGTAGTTCGTTGGGCTTCGCAAGATGGTACATGGGCGACTTAACCCGTATAACCCTTGACCAACCCTGTTCTTACTCTCCTAAATTAACCCGGTTCAGTGCAAAGGTCCAAGCGTGGAGTGTTGCTAGGCAACATCGCGCTTCGCTGTTAACGTCGATCAAAGGACGGTGCAGTACAGTCCGTCTTGGCAACACACCTGAGGCATTCTGTGACGTTAAAGCAGCTACACTTCAGGCGGTTCTGGTCAACAAGCCTCCCGTTCCTAAGTCTGTTACGCGTTCTGGCAGAGAAGCGACGGACCGCCAGGAAAGCGTCAGGTGCGCCATGCAGGAGGAGTGAGGACCATGATGTTGGACCCCAGGCTCTAAACCCTCAACCCTCAAGCTCTTGAGCCCTTAAGCCCTTCAGCTCATAAACCCTTAAATCCCTAATCCCTTCAGCCCTTGAACCCTTAGATCTCTTAGCCCTTCAAGCCCTAAAACCCTGAGCCCTCAAGCCCTTGAAACCCTAAAGCCTTTATAATCCCTTAAAGCCCTAAAGCCCCTAAATCCCTTAAATCCCTTAAAACCCTAAAGCCCGTAAGATCCCCTAAAACCCTTAAATCCCTTAAAGCCCAAGGCCCCTCAAGCCCTTGAAATCCCTGAACCCCACAACTCGCAGGCTCCTCTGCCGCTTCAAAGACGGTCTTTTGCTCGAAGACCGGCGCCTTTGCGTCGTGTGAACAGGATGCTATGGCTTGGAGTCTAGGGGTTCAGGGTTCAGGGTTCAGGGTTTAGGTGTTTAGGGTTTAGGGGTTCAGGGTTTAGGCGTTTGGGTTTAGGGGCTTAGGGATTATAGGGCTTAGGGTTTGGGGTTTACTGGTTTGGGGATGTAGGTGCTGGGGGTGGTGTTGCCGGGGGGCAGGGTGGCTAGGCTAGGGTTTGGGGGTGGGGTTTACACGGTTTAGGGTTTAGGGTTTAGGGTGGGTTTAGGTTGGCTTTGCTTCCGGGGAGAGGGGCTGTGAGGTCTGGAGGTGGGGAGTCTAGGCTTTAGGTCCTTTAATGCACCGGCCTGTGGTCCTAGGGTATCGCTGTACGGAAAGCTCTAATGATTGAGCGCCACAGAAGTTGCGATACTGAACCCTGATTTGCGCGGTTCTTGAAACAGGCGATCCACGAGTACCGCGAATACTACTCCCCTCCCCAAAAGGGTCCTATGTACTGTTTTGGGGGATACTTCCCCGAATCATAACAGTAGCTACAACCGCACTCCTCCCCCTCCTCTGATGCCAGCCTCTTGCTCTCTCTCCAAAACGCAGCCGCAACCTGACTAATCACGCTGATACTACGGTTTATGATGCAAATCCTGCATGACCCATAATAATAAGTAATACACAATAATCCCCATAAGCCCTCAAGGCAAAGCCCCTGACCCTGTGGCGCCTTAGGCTCGCCGCGCATCTCCGCGAGCCAGCTGTCTGCTGTGGGCCAGGATCCACATGTTGGAGAAACCAACCTTATCGGGAATGGTTGGGGCTTTAAGGTCTTCAGATTTCCGGGGTTCTGGGTTTTGGAAGGGTATAGGTCTTCTGAAGGTTTCGTTGGAGAGTTACCCCCTTTCTGCAGAATAACACCCTGACAGCCCACATATATATATATATATATATATATGTATATATATATATATATAGTGGTTTCTTGATGTTCTTTTTTAAAACATAAACCCTACAGTCGACATTAGGCCGCATAGCACCGAAGCCCTGGGTGCAACGCACAAGGCATTATAATGATTGGAACAGCTTGTTTACAGTTACAACAACGCTGTGTTGAATGGGAAAGGATCAACAAGATCTGCCGGGTTTTATGCTCGGGATCTGAACGATTAAAGTTTAGGAATTTTACTTCGTAGACCAGCTTCTACCCCAAAAAGACGCCTCTTATAAGGTCTTTGCTATTATGGATAAGGGTCTGTGTAATAAAGATCCTACTATCCTAGGTTGATACTATAGCTACCCCAAACCCTAACCCCAAAGACCCAATATCTCTAAACCTTAAATATATCCTGGCTGACGAGCTTCTGATACCCACACTCATGGTGCTAAAAGGGCTCGAACAGAAGGATTCCACATAAGGCTTGTATAAAGGCTTCACCAGGATTGCTTTGAGCGTTGCACAGGGCTGTTTCAACTTTGAGCGCGCAAACTCTAGTCAGACTCATTACCACAGACCCAAATTCCTTTTCTAGCAACGGGAGGGCCCTCATCTAGTCACGTTACCGGTAGCCTCAAACCCTAGGTACAAAATGGCAAGTAGGCAGGCGCCACCACGATCCGGCAGGAATCGCGACCTAATCTGTTGCTGCGTCACATGTCAGTCCACTTAAAGCCAACCACCCAACGCATTGGATGTCGGGCACGGTCGTGATTTTGACTGCCATGGCCATACCGATGTAGTCGTTTGTGGTGACCCGGACGACCGCAGCCTCCCCCATCGTTTAAGGCAGAAGCCGTTTACATTGAAGGCCCTAAACCCTAAACCCTAAACCCTAAACCCCTAAACCCCTGACTGAGGGCTAGTAAGCCTAAACCCCCAAGCCCTGGCCCTAAACCCTATAAGTATTGGAGATCACTCTCACCAGATCCTCACAATGAACCTTAATCCCAACCTCGCCAGCACACGGGCCTGGCTCGAAAACCCTAAGCTCTAAAGCCCTAGCACCCCAAAGCCCCAAGGCCTATAACCCTCAAGCCATGAATGCCCTACCCGACAAATCCGAAACACCAAAACTCCGAGACCCGAAAGACACGAACTCTCGACCGGCAGAACACATCAGTCGTAGCTTACTCTCTACTCTCTATCTCTCTCTCTCTCTGTCTCTCTCTCTGTCTCTCTCTCTCTCTCTCTCTCTCTCTCTTTCGAAAAGCAATTCAATTCTAAAGTCACGAATCCTGTCCCTGAGCCCAAGACAAGACCCGAAACCCACAACGCAACTGCCCCAAACCTTCGACCCCAAACCTCGAAGCCATAAACCCCCAGCTCTGAACCCATCATGCAGGCAACCTCGTCCCGGCCAGGGAGGACGACACGTGACGCAGAAGGACCGACTTGTTCTGAGCAAGCTGAGGGTTTCAACAATTTTCAGGTTGGGACTGCCTTATCCATAGGCCCCATGGTAGTTCCCTTTTGGGCTTCATATTTAGAATCCTATAAGGAAATCCCAAACAGGAACTACCATGGGGCCTATGGGTAGAGCCGTGAAGAGCTCCAAAGATGGCTTTGTGTGGTGGCCATTGGGCTTCTGGTGCTCCGTAAGTTGCACTTGGAGCTGGAACCCTAAACCTTTAACCCCTAAACCCTTAAACCCTAAAACACTAAAACCCGAAAACCCTAAAATCCCAAAAAACCCTAAACCCTGAACACTAAACGCTAAATTTACTGGAGGGCTTCGAGGTTCGGGTCGACGTTCAGGGGCTTGCGGGTTGCCGGGATCCGTCTAAACCCTCGACCCTAAAACCTTACTTGGAGGATCATGGGACTTAGTAACGAGGGGTATAAATAAGGTAACTACAATTATAGGCCCCAATTAGGGTACTTGTAACCTTACTTACTAAGTCCCATGATCCTCCCAGTATAACTCCTAAACTCTAAGCCCCTAAGCCCCCACAGCTCGTCTTGTCAGGGGTTTAGGGTTGAGGGATTTTCGAGGCGTTTAGGGTCTTAGAAGGGGCCTCAGGGGTGAGGGGCTAGGGATTTGCCCTCTGCAGGTAGACACAAGTGGCCTCTCAGGTTCTGAAACTCCGTGCTCAAGCGAATTCACGCAGGGGAAATCACGTTGTGTGCCGAAAAGTCTGGATTCGGGAATACAACACGTTAAAGAACCTGCAAAGAAGTATGTTATGGTAGGGTTCAAGTAACCACCACCTTCTCGATTTTAAAGCCCATTTTCCGATCTCACGAAGCCATGAAGGCCTAAACCCTAAACCCTAAACCCTAAACCCCTAAACCCTAAACCCTAAACCCCTAAACCCTAAACCCTAAACCCTAAACCCTAACGCCTCTGAAATCGGAGAGGGCTGGGATCTGAAGATCTTTTGGATACCAGCAGCTCCCCGGAAAGAGGCCGCAAGAAGCAACGAGAAACTCCAATACCATTGTAGTTCCTTTCTGTGGTATATATATATATATATTTATGTTTAGGATCCTACAAGGTAATCCCAAAAAGGAACTACAATGGAGCCTACGTGTAGTAGGGACTTATCGAGGTCCATGAAGGCACTGCAGGCTTCAGTAGGGTCGAAGGCCTGAACCAAGCGAACTCCAAAGCCCCACGGCCTGGGAAATCGAAGACGGATCCTTCCGAACCGGAACTTGGCCCTGAAGTGTTCATAGTAAATCTTATGTGCCGATCAATATTGCACATACTATAATAATGCTACTTCCAAGCAAAGTGTTCATATTAATATAATATATTAATACTAAAAGTCAAACTATTGATTTTATTAGCCATGGGAGATCTCAGAAGGACACGGCCTCAAGAATGTATCCGCGGGCGTCGATCGACTCTTGCGTTTGGCCTGCGCCGCTCTTCTGGGGAATGGAAGAAAACTCGAACCAACCACGAAACGAGAAAGCGCGGAACGCCAAGCCGACCCGAACAATCAAATATCAACACTCTAAATTATAAGCTCTAGACATGTAGGCTTTCTTTGGAAACTGACGCAATTTGCGAGGTTATTGTAGGGGCCTTTATGATTAGAATAGGATTCTGGGGCCCATTGTACTATAATTAATTATAATAAGGAACCCCCAAAATAGTATAGGTAATTATTGAGGCCCCTATGTTAGGCTTGCGTGCATGGGTTCAGGCTTCGGGGCCAAAGAGGCCAAGCACATAGGGTGGCACCATGGAGAGTCTTCGTTTTGAGGGGTTTACATGGGTTATGGCTTGGGGCTTATAAGGCGTAAGGTTTTTGTTTTGAGGGTTTTGGGAAAAAGGATTTCGGATTGAAGGGCTCGAAAGCTTAGGAATTTGGGGCTTGACGGTCTTAGGCGTTGTGGGCTTAGGGTTGTTCTTCATGGTTTGGTTTGCAGGGTATGCGGGCCTACCCATGTCTGGGTATGAGGCATAGAGGAAACTTGAGCATCTAAATTTAAATATAGGACAAATAAATGCACAAACATGTAGATACAAAAGTACATATTACATATGATTAAACAAGTTACAGTACTTGGTATACATATCTTTATATATAGTATATACAAAGAGAGAGAGAGAGAGAGAGTGTTTGTATGTACATGTGTATATACATACACATATGCATATATATATATATATATTAAACATGTTATTCTGTCTGCATCACGGAGCCCTCAGGAACAGTATTCATGTAGATTTCGCTTCATAAGCCCTCCTCCCGAAAAAACGGAATTACAGTAGAGATCCTAATATGAAGGCCCAGAAAGAGAGCGTGTCTATGAATCAGGGGCTCTAGGAATTTGTAATTGGCCGTCTCCACCCCGCCCCTTCAAATCAAAAGTTAGGCTCTACTAAGACGCTCCATGAAGGATCCTAAACCCCCAAACCGAATCCCGAGATCCTGAAACCCTAAACCCAAAGCTCCTGAGATCCTAAAGCCCCAAACCCTAAAGATTGACTCTGAGGCTAAACTAAACCCGGACCTCGACATGGAAGTCTCAAGCCAAAGCTGAAACTCAGAGCTGAAACCCGTTCTTTCCGACAGCTCTGGGGGCCTCGGGCTTTTAGGGTTTAGGGCATAGGGTATAGTTATAGGGTTTAGAGTTTTAGGCTCTTTTTCCGAAAAACTCTGGGGGCTCGGGGTTGATAGGGCCTGGTTTGGAAGCCTGATGACTTCGACTGGCGTGCGGGCGTATGCGCAGTATACTTATTTCTTCGGAACCCAAGGGAAGACGGTTCAAGTAGACAAGTGCTATTCAGACTACAAACAGTGCCCTATTCGAGTTGCCTTGGCAACCCTAAACCCTAAACCCTAAAACCCAAACCGTCAGTCTTTGCAAGGCCTGCAATGCGCCGCCTCGCAGACCTATCTGTCTCCATGTTCGCCTTGCGGATCCTTGGGTTGGGGTTTAGGGTTTAGGGTTTAGGGTTTGGGGTTGGGGTGAAGGGTTTTTTGGTTATATGAGTGTCGGGGCCTTAATTTCGGGCTGAGTTTCAGTGTGCTATGGCTACAGGGCGTTAGCTTCCAATTGGGCATATGCTACGACCCTGCAAAGTTATACGGTGGTCTACTTACTTCCCCAATAAGCCAGTGAAATCAAAGGTGAAACTTTGATATTACTACTAAGTTATAAGAACCCAAAAAGCTTACAGGATGGGTATTGGAGAACTAAGTCTACCATTTAGAGGAGCTGCGGTTGGGCAATCTGAGTGATTACGAGTGCAGGATCTTAGGGCTTCCAGAAGTTGGGGTTCATGGCTTGATGGAGGGTTCAGGGTTTAGAGTTTGGGGTTTAGGGTTGAGGGCTTTGGGGCTCTTGTGCTTGGAGGGTTTAGGGGTTTAGGGCTTTCGGGATTTCAAGCGTTTCGGGTTGAGGGGCTGGGCACTGCAAAGGCTTACTGACCTCACGAGTTTCGGCTGTAAAGGCTTAGGAGGAACTTTCATCATATGCCAGGGTCATTTCCGGCTCCAGCATCACTGGTTCCTGTAGCCATACACCCTGCAAAACTAGTGGGGCTTGGGGTTCAGGGTTTCCATAAAATCTTACCCTTAAAGGAAGCCGGCTTAACGTGAAGCTGAACGAAATACACACTCCAAAACCAAGCACAACATCGACTGATAATCCCACTCCTTCAACCGCAAAACACACCCAGCTGCATTCAAAACACTAACAGGCAAGAATAGCCCTTCAAAACGAGGCAGGCCAGAAATGTGTAGGTGTATTTGCGTGTGCGTGCGCATGGGGTGTTCTAAGTCTTATCGTGTGTGTTTCTTGCGTTAGGCTCTAATACAAAGCTACCCCCCCCCCCCCCAAATTCCAAACAAACCCCAGTGTGTCCATGCTTCCATCCGAATGAGCCGTCGCTGTCGGGGTTGGCCCTGCCATGCGTGTCAGTGTCGATCCGGACCGCTCTCCTGCCAACAGTAGTCTCGAGGCTCAAGGTCAAGAATTCCCAGTTCGGGGTGAGAAGCCTTGTACAGAGTCATGAGGCTGACGAGGAAGAAGTAGGATTCGGAGTGCAGGGGTTTAGCTCGAGTTTAGGAGTTCAAGAGTTTAGGGTTTGGCGGGTTTAGGAGTTCAGGGCTCATAGGGTTTAGGTTTGGGGTGGACTTGTTGACGACCTCCACTACTCTTCAAGGATACTGTGAAGTGAGTGATTTGTTGACGCTCGCGGCTGGCAGGTGTTGTCTGCATTGGGCTCTGGTGTGGCCTTGACTGCGGCGCTTTGGGTGTGGCCCTTGTCCTTGCTTTCGGCCGGGAGTTTCCGGACCACCGAGAAGCGCCACAGCCCCAGAAACCTAATGCTTGGGGTAATAGTTCAGGGTTCCGGTGCGCATTCAGAAGTCATAGCCTTGCCAAACAAGCCGACTGCCCATAGGCCCCATAGTAGTTCCTTTTTGGGGTTACCTTATAGGATTCTAGAATATAGAATCCTATAAGGTAACCCCAAAAAGGAACTATAGTATATGAATCCCCATAAAGGAACTCCTTTAGGGCCTATGGGTGGAGCCCATGAATCCCAAGCTCGCAGCGCCGAAACCGCGAGGCTCCAAACCCCCCGAAGCCCAACACCCGCGGCTCCAAGCGCCTCATGTAGGGGCCTTAGTAAGTAGAATAGGGTTCCTTGAAAGGGATCCTTAAAGGGTTCTATAAGGAATCTATAATAGGGTTCTTTAGTTGGGGCCTTAATAAGTAGAATATAGGGTTTTGGGGTAGCTTATACTATAATTGTAATAAGGAACCCCCCAAAATAGTATAGGCAATTTTTTAGTCTATATTACTGATTGCAAAGCTGCCTGGCCTTAGAACGCCTCCAAGGGAACGATAGCGGTAGTAGCTCAGCTGAACCCCTGGGTCAGGCCGGACTTCGCCATGGAAAACAAGGCTTCGCTGAAGGAGTCCAGTAGGACAGGGGCTCTTCAATGTAGGGGCCTTAATAATTAGAATAGGGGTTTGGGGTATAGTAGACTATAGCTGAATAGGGTTTTGGGGTATAGTAGACTATAGCTGAATAGGGTTTTGGGGTATAGTAGACTATAGCTGAATAGGGTTTTGGGGTATAATATACTATAACTATAATACGGAACTCCCAACATAGTATACGTAACTATTTAGGCCCCTACATTAGGAGGTTTCTACAAAGGGTTCGATACAGGCCTTCAGGAGTGTCGCTGCATGTTGCGCTTCTGGGTTTGCGAGGTTCTTGAAGGACAATGTGGGAGTTTCCAAAGATTAGGGGTACCTTATTTTAGGGTCCTTATAATAGGGATCCTATTATTTAGGGTATATTAGGGTCCCCTATTTTCGGAAACCCCCATGTAAAGGCTTCACAGGATCTTGTATATGCGTAGAGTATGGAGTGCTATAGAGGCTGTACAAGATTGGCTGAAGGGTTCAGGCTTGAGAGGATTCTGTTGTGCTATTGGGTCTGGGAGTTGTTTTACCCCATGCGATCAGTGGCTGTATGTTGGGCAGAAGCAACAGCAGTGGAGATGCTTTTCGGGCTCAACTCGTGTTCGGCATTCTTGCGAGATAGCAAAGAGCTTTGCAGTTCTCTGGGGCTGGGGCATAGGGTCTCGGATTTCAGGAGTGCCGGCTGCTCAGAATCTTACAAGGTTGAAGGCCTGTTTGTTGTTGGTTCTCTGTTTCTGTATTGGAGGCCGGAAGCTTGATTCTATAGGTCTCAACAACTAAAGTGCGTCGGGCTTGAAGGCCATATTATCGCAGTTCAATCATAAGGAGCCCGGTGGGAGAGTAGTACTATCGAAGCATTCCGGCTTCCTTATTAACCCTAAACCCTAAACCGAGCCTTATTAAGTGCTTAAGGTTTGGGCTTTCAGGATGCTTTCAGGTATTCGGAGAGGAAGCCTCCGGCGACCTGTGCTTTAAAAACAGATTCGGACTTTGGATGGCTTTTCAGTCCCTGATTCTTTCGCAAGGGTCGCTTGGGGTGCCGGGTTTATAGGACTTCGGATTTTTTTAGGGCTGAGGGCTTAGAGGGTTTATAGGGTTTAGGGGGTTTAACTTAAGAGTGACTGGAGGCAGCAACATCGGAGCCGAGTTTGCGGGGAGGAACGGCAACCGAAGACGGAACGGCCAACACCCTCCTTAAACCTGTAAATAGGCTCTATATCTCTCAGCTTTCTAAACCCTATGCGGAATACTAACCATAATCCAGTTTTGGTTTCATGCGGTCCTTCAGGATCTTAAACCTCACGCTATGCCCTGAGCGTTGGATCAGGTTGACCTGCCCTCAACGGGAGCGTTACAGCCCTAACCACGGAGCGCGAGACCCCGAACCCCAAACGGCAAACCCTCAACCCCAAACCCTGAGCCCAACATTAACACTTCTGAACCCTTAACCCTAGACCCTAAGCCCTATATTAATACTTCTATGCCCTAAACTTGCCCACCTACGCCGGGTAGGCAGCCCCCCGACCTCGATGGCGCAGGCCAACCCAGTACGCCAGCCCGCCCCACAGCATGGGGAATTGGTCGGTTCAAACAGTTGCCCTGAACCCCCCTAAACCCTAAACNNAACCCTAAACCCTCCCCCCCCCCCCCTTCACCCTGGAGGTGCTGGCTTGTGGGGGCCCCCCCTTGAAGTGGCGGCGTCTCATTGAGCCAACTTCTACGGCGTCCGGCACAGCAAACGCTAAGCCGTCAACCCTAAGCCCTGATCTCGCCTAACTCCTGCTCAGGAGGGTCGAGCGCAGCCATGGCCCACAAGGTGTTTCGGAGTGGAGTCTAAGCCTAAGGGTTCAAGGGAATATAAGGACTCTACACCCGAAAGTCTAAGATCTGGTGCATTGACAGGATTGATTAAGGCTATGCCCTAAATCCGAGACCCTGATTAAGTGCATGCTTTCAGGGGTTGGAGGGTTTGGACCCGGACGTCTGCTTTCAGGGCTTACGGCTTGGTGCACAGAGGCTTCCGGGTTAGGGGTGTAGGGTAGCTTTCCATCCGCACGCTATGTTCTGTCTGTGTGTAGAAGTATACCTATGAATAACTAAATAAACAAAAAAACTGTATGTGAAAATAAATAGAGANNACCCAACACGTTTAAAACTCTGGAATGCTCGGGGAGACAAGGTATCTGGTGGATTTTCGATTGGTGGTGGCTGTTTTCTTTCGCTGGGGTCCAAAAGGCGTGAGCTTGCAGTAGTAGTCCAAGGCCTTAAACCCTCCGGTTCGCTGGAGTCGGGAGTCCTAAACCTTCAAACGGTAGCATCCAAGGGGTTCGCGGTTCAGGCTGGGGCTGATCGTCCCTAAACCCTAAACCCTA